AATATATACTTTTTTCCCAGCATACTAAAAAATAAATATAAGTAAATAAATAAATGAAAAAGCAAGAAGATAACTGTTGATAGTTTTATTGAATACTGTTTCTCTTCTAAAGAAATTAGATTGATTTAATCGCTTTCTAATTGTGCTGAGTTAAAATATTGCTTTTCCTATAAAAATATACTTGCAAAAAATTATACCTTAGCTGGAGTTATTGACAAGAGAACTAGAATAGGCTTTCAATGCTGCAGAAAGTTGCATATGTTCAGTACTGTTATGTTGAGCATTATTTGCAGGTTGTATCCTCCTTGAAAACTGTGGATGTTCTTACTTTGTAACCCATTTTGTTTTGTTCAACAGGCAATAAAGAGTAGCTCCAAAGTGAATGTGACCAGGATTCTCTCTCCATGTATCTGGGGGAAAGGCCAAGGCTAAGAGGACATTCTTCTAGGAGAAGGACAAGGCCCTCAGCTGGCTCCCCAAAGGCATGGGAATGTGAGCCTGTCTGTGTTTTGTATAAGATGAGGTCATTGCTAATGATGATAACGTATAGGGATTCTAAAACTATAAAAATGGCTTGTGTTAAATCCTTTGCTTTTGTATTACCCTTTCTGCCAACCTCAAAATCACTTATAACATTCATTTGAAATAAAATTTAATGTCCCCAATTCCATAGCTATGGAATTGTCAAGAAACCAAGTTGGGACATCAGTAACATCAGCTTTAGAACTTCAGTGTCAAACCTCCACTTTTACACCTAGACTTCCAAGTCACGCTGTTTTTCATTTCTGCAAAGTGCCTGAGGAGTCACCTTAGAAACTCACTACTATTGTGGACTGCTGGATTGTGTTGGATTGTTTTGCTGAATTCAAGAATCTATAGCATTTAGATGCCAATAGAATACCCATTTCTGACAGAACTAAACAAAAAAAGGGGATACAAAGGAAGGACCATTTTGTATTTGTATATACAGAATAGGTGGGATCGATATACATCTACCTTCGCTTAATTCAGTGAGAGGAAAGTTTTGTAGTAATCGTGTTTGGACAGGATAGCCTGTCTGCTTCTTAAGAAGATAACAATGTACAATGTATTAATTATTTGAAAATGTCCCATTAATCAGTTTTGAAACTGTCTCATTGATATTTGTTTCTCAATAAAATTAAATTAAATTAAATTTTAAAAAAGATTCTATCATATCTCAAGGTAGGTATAGTAAGAGATGAATTAGTTTAAATAATGATGTATATGTTAATTCTGAATTGGGAAAAGGACTACTAGCTAATGGCACTGGAAAGTTCATCTAGCCTTTAAAGAAAATTACCAATCAAAATAGGCTACACATTCTCCATAATGTAAAGTCCTAGAGCAATAAAATCTTCACTATGTAAGTTCTGAATATCTGAATTTTTCAAATAGTTCTGAGTTATACTTGTTCTTTTAATTGTATTGACTGAAATACCTTCTAAATTTATCATGTATTGCCTAATTTCCTTGAATGTACTGATTTAATTTTGCCTTCAGCTTTAGCAAAGAACAATTGAAAAATAAAAATTGTATATGGTTAAGATGAAAGAAAAAAGAATTAGTGGCCAGCTTCTGTCCTTCAGACCCCTCCATGTGATACCCAGCCCCCACAAACACTCGAAGCTGGGCATAATGCTTTCAGAGGATCAGGATGGAGATGGGGTGGGGCCAAATGTTCAAATGGCTCTTGCTAGAAGCAAAATTACCTGTTGACTTCTTGAGGAAGCTCTGTAAGCTGATTATTGTTCAGATTAAGCAGGATCAAGTTTTGTAAACCATCTGTTAGAAAATAATGTTAGTCACTGTAGCCATCATTAGAAAATAATGTTAATCATTTTCTACATACCTTTGTTTTCTTTCTGTCTTTTTGTCTTGGCCAAGTGTGCAGACAGCTATTTTCATAAATTAGCTCAAAGAAAAGGGCAAATTTATCATGATGTCAAAAAACTTAGTCACAGTTTCTAAGGGTGCAAGGTACAACCAGGGACATCACAATGAGAACCAAAGACTAAAAGGCATTCAGGAGCAGGAATGTACCTTTCTGATACCTCTGTAGAACATATAGTTTATTTTCTCATTAAATCTTTCTCAGCTTCCTATTTATATCCTCTCATCTCTCTACCCCAACTCTGGTCTCTGTCTCTCCCCTCTTCAAATATGTTCTTCTTTCGCTTTTGAACATATTTCATCTATTTTTCCACGTATTCAGAGCCACCATAATACCCTATATTAAATGTTCACAGATAGTTCAGGCAGAGGATTATGAGTCTCAGATGCCATAGGAACCAAGAAGATAACCCTAGGCTTTGTCAGTCAGTGCCACCACCACACAGCTAACGCTTGCAACCACTGTCCTGTGGGGATGTGAGTGCAATGTTGTTCAATCTTTCTTTTTTGAAAGAGCCCACAACAGTCAGAGATAAAGACTTTCTGCATACTCTCTTATTTGCAAATTTTGATATCTTATTAAAATAATTTTAAAAGGTTCAAACCAGAGCCAAACCTATTCATAAACTAGCTTCACCCCATGGGCCACCAATTTGTCTCAGGCCCTGTGATTTTCTCTGGTCAATGAAGCACTTTTAGACTCTGTCACAGTCCTAAAGAACTACAGCACATGTCTGGCTCAGCTCGCAGATGCATTCTCTATCCTGGTCAGCTGCTGCAGTCGGAGGGATAAGGTCACATGATACAGCAAAGCTCTCCAGACCTATGCTGATTGGCACTCAGCCGCCTGACAACGAATTACTTCCACCCCTTGATAATCAGGAACTGCCATATACTTTATGTTGACACAAGGGATTTCTTCAAAGTTCTGTTGTTAGGCTATACCTCAGTGGTAGATCATTTGCTTAGCACATATGAAGCCTTAAAATGAAACTCTATCATAATAAGTAATAAATTTTATATATATATATATACATATATATATATATATATATTACTATAGTTAATTGTATTATTTTCCAAATATAACACTGCCTTTAAATACTACTTGAAGATGACAATGATTATTCTATATGGCATCCACTAGCCTAAAATTTCATAGATATTTATATAATCTAAACATTTCCCTAGTTTTCTGGATTGTCCCCAAAGACTCACATGTCAAGCAGTGGTGGCCAGTTTATGGGACACATGCCATGGTGGCATGCAAAGCCCTCTGCCAGCATGTGAGCCCAGTCACCCAGTAGCTGAGCATTCGATAATAGTTTTCCAAACTAAAACCTCAGTATTCAGGTTTAATTATAGCATTGGTACTTTACAAGACATAAGTGAATTTGAGGTTGCAACTGGGACACTCATTTCTAAAAGGTGTCATTGTGTTGAAGGTTTGGTCCCCAGCTAATGGCACTATTATGAGGTGGGGGAACTTTCAGGAGGTAGGACCTGGCGGAAGGAAATAAGGTCATCCAGGGTGTGCCCTTGGTGGGGATAGGCCCCTTCCCCTTCCTCTCTGCTTCCTGGTCACCATCAAGTAAGCAGCTTTTGCTATACCATGTGTGGGTTACCATGATGGTCCACCTCACCATTGGCCCAAAAGCAACAGAACCAGGCAAACTGGAACCTCTTAAACCATAGAGAAAAAATGAATTTTCTTTTTAAGTTGTTTATGTCAGTAATAGAGAACTAATGGAGAAGTTCACACATAAGGTGGTCCAGTGCCTTACAATGAGTTAGTAAGGCTATTAAATCACCTGGATTTCTATGTTATGCATCTGCCCTTAAACCCATCCTAGTTACAGGATATAACAAGAGTTTCAAATTGAATGGGAAAATTTTTAACTTAGTACAAATACAAAGAAAATAATGCCATTTATTAAATTTCATAATTTTTTAAATCTTCTCTCCAACTGACTTAATTTAGTATCTTAATCAAAACCTGTGATTTAATACCTGAAATAAGGGCCAGGAAGATGGCCCAGCAGTGTAAGTGCCTGCCTAGCAAGCACAAGGTCCCAGGTTCAATCCCCAGTACCACAAAAAAAAGAATACCTGAGGAGTCCTAATATGTACTAATTAAGAAAAACAAATTCATTAATATTAATGCTTATTTATTCTCTTAGGTCTGCACATAAATAAATACTTGATACAAAAGGTTTAAAATAGTTATATGTCCAAAATTGTTTAATTTTAAGAGTAATCTGTAATTAGTTCCAAAAAATGATTAAAGGCTGTGCAATTTTTCACTCCAGTGCCACATCATTAAATACTAGGGACCAAGTCTAATACTAATGTTACTCTTCTTTGACGGACTTACCACATGCTCCAGGTGCAATTCTGCAAATCCTGTTTCCAAATAAATGAAGGGTCTTCAGGGAAGTGAGGTATTTCATCTCTTCTGGAACTTCTTCTAAAAGATTATTTCCCAAATTGAGTACTGTCAACTGCAAAAATATAGAGATTCAGTGGACACATGCTTTACCTGCCTTCAAATGGGCAAAGAAATAATTTAACCCCTTTGCTCAGCGCTACATACTCTAAGAAAACTTCAAGGCAATTTTCAGTGATTTCACTTACAACAAGTTATATTTATAAAGAAAGTCCATTTAGACTTCATGCTGAAACAATATTTCATCAATAAATAAAAATTGAATTTTCAATTAAAGTACTTAACTTCTTTAAAATTGTATGACAAATTATTCCATGGCATATTAAAACACAGCTGATGGCTCATCCATAATTCACTGAGCAATCCTGCAGGAATCTGACACTGTGACCCTCAGAGGCAACTATTAAAAGCAGTAATGGCCCAATTTCCTGAAACCAGAAACACAAAGACCCAGGCCTCTCGTGTACCATTCCTGAGTGACCTACCTCATGAAAGCCTGCGAGTCTGCTCTATTCATGGAGAGAGCAGAGGGACCTTTAATTTTGATAAGACTCTATGTGATTACAAAATTCACAAAGGCAACTATTGAAATGCTATATAGAAGACCTGCCCCGTATGTGCCTGCCCTACAACTGACATATTATCAGACACAGCAAGAACATCACATAGGAGTTTTAAAATGTCTTTCTTGATCTAGTTCAATAAATCAATCATAAAAGGTTGTTTCCTGAAAGGTGGCTATTTTCTTTGGGAAGAAATCTATTTGTACTTTCCAAGTATTTTTTTTTATCCCCAAACATCATTATTCAGATACTTTCATATAAAATATAAAAAGACTTCATATTTTATAATTTTAATATTAAGAGTAATTTAACAAATGAATTTACATAAGAAAAGGATTAAGGAAAAAATTAGGCAATTTATAATTATGTTTTTATCCCTCCTGTTATTTGCTATAATTTAAATTTAAACTAAAGGAGATAGACTTTTATAATTAAATTTCATACTTCAAGAACTCATGGTTAAGTTTTGAGCTCCACATTTTTAACAGACAATTATGATTAGCCTGCTTTTTACATGAAGTACAATACATTTACCACCTGTGAGGTCTTGTTTCATTATAAAGGTAAAGTTAAGATACATTTTTAGTGGTAGTTGAATGAAAAAGACTTAATATGGTGTCCATATTGGTTCTGGACACTGTAACAAATTGTCACAAGTCACATTCTTGCCTAGGGCTTTTCCCTTCCCTGTCCTGCATCCTTCATTCCTTTACAGGTTTCTCCTGGAAGAACTGCTGCCTCAGGAGATTAACAGAGTCTATGGCTAAGGTTTCTAAGACAGTCCCATAAAAGTGAAGGAAAACACAATTTGTCATAGCCAAATCTTGGAAACAACCAAAGTGCCCGTCACCTACGGAATGAATGAAAAAGATGTGGTATTTTTATATAATGGAGTATTACTCAACTATAAAGAAAAACAAACTCAAAGCCCTTGTAGATAAGTGGATGCAACTTAAGGCTATACTCATAAATGAAATAAGCCAGACTCACATGTGTAAATATCATATTGTCTCCCAAGTGTAAGAACTTAAAACAAGAAATAAAAACTGAAAGGTGTAACAGACATAGTTAAATGGAAAGAAACAGAACTTAAGGATTTAGCAACAAAAAGAAAAAGGAAAAAAGTTAGGAAATAAGGTAAGGGCAAGACCATATATGTGTATATATAAGATGGATAAGGCAATAGTCCTAAGAATTTCCATTAGGTTTTTGAAAGTAGCAGTTAATGGGTAGAATTCTCACCCCGACTAACTCCATATGCTGATATCTGTGAACTAAGCGACTACATTGAGGACAGCAATGTGTAATACTAAGACGATGCTTGAAATAGCTGTCATCTTGGTCTTCTAAATGTGTACGGTTTCTAATGTCATATCAATTATTACTATGCTCTCTTTAAAGTAAATTTTTAAAGTAATAAAAGAAAATGAGAAACAAGAACAAAAATTTAAGATTTCTTGAAAGCATGTGGTAATATTCACTCATGTCCCATCTTGCATAACTATGTGTTAATCAGAGCAACAGATTTGAAAATAAAAATAGATAACATATTAATCACTGTTAATCAGATATTCTTGTTTTGAAAACCCATAACACATGTATTATCTGTTATCCTGTTTCTGTCTTTGCTTTTGTTTTTCTTGTTCTTGTTTTTACTCTTCAAAAAATAAAAGAAAGTTATTTTTTTAAAAAAAGAAAGGCAAGCTATTAAAAAAAAAAGATGTGGGTTACATTCTAGGGGAAGTTTAAATAAAATAAAAACATAGAAATAGCAACTGGATTCAACAACTTGAAGGCTACTAGTGACCCTGAAAATAGAGAGCAGATGTCAAGGAAGAAAATGTGATCATGGTGGACTAGGAAGAAAATGTGAGAAAGCAAAGACAATGAGTCACAAATGGACAATTCTTATAAGAACTTTTTCTACTAAAAGTAATGAGAAAATGAAGAAGCTGGAATTTATTTTCCTGTAAAATAAAAAGTACTGTAGTTTATGGATGCACTGATGGAAAAATGTACTGTAGAAGATGAAAATTTACTGATATAAAGAGAATGATACTGGGGGAATAAAAATGCTTCCAAAGAGGCAATGGAACCCAGTGTATGAGTGCTTTTGGCCTTAGGAGTCGGGACTCATCACTAAGGTATCAAGAAGGAAAGTAGACAAGGTGACGGTAAACAGGTACATAAAGGGGTTTGGTAATGGAAAAATGGCGTTTTCTATCTTAATTTTCTTGTTGCTGAGACAAAATACACAAAACCTCAAAGTGAAAGGAGAAAACGTATTTTGCTCACAATTGATGGAAGTTTCAGTCCATTATTGGCTGGCTCCAAGGCAGGGTGGCATGGAAGACATACGTCACAGAAGATGAATACTTCATGGCAGGCAGAAGGCAGCAAAGCAAGCAAGCAGCAGACTACAAGTACCTAGCAGCAAGCCTCTTTCAGTCCCTGACAGCATATCCAGGCCATCTACCCTTAGAGCAGATAGTACTCATGCCCTTAACCCAAGCACCCTTAATCCTAGCTTTGCACCACGAATCAATCACACTTTCTAGATCCAGCCATCTGTAAAGAAGTCCCACCTTTGACTACATAAGCCCTTGAGGGGACATCTAAACACAAGCCATACGCTCATCGTTTATATCTATTTTCTCAATAAAATATAAAACAGGGCTTGGAGCTGGAGCTCTGCAGTACTGTGCTTGCATAAGATGTCAAGGCCTTGGGTTCCACTGCCAGCATCAAAATAAATAAACAAAAAAACCACAATATGATGATGCGAAAGCAGTCTCCTTGCTGGGAGAAGACTGAAGAGATTTGAAGAAGAAAAGATCCTTCTGAAGAATAATCTATGTTATTGGGATAGAGAGGTTGAAGTTTCTGATGTCACTTAGAAAGATGTTACAAAATGACTGAATTACAGGAAAGGATATTTTATCTGGCTAATACATTAACTACATACTCTATGCTTGAAAAAGTTACAAGAATTTTGAGCTCCACAACCAACCATATGACACGTAAAGAATGAATACAATGCCATTGAAAAATTTCAAAAAGTAAAGAATTTCAAAGTCAAAGCTAAGGTAAAAAGAATGAAAATAGGATTCCTTTTCACATGGTTGGATAAGAAAAAGAAGATTTAGGCTGACCAAATAGCTCAGCGGATTACAGCACCTGCAAGCAGGTGCAGGGGCCAGGGGTTCGATCCCAGGGCTTGCTGTGCCAGCCCTGTCCCTGAGGCACTCTGAGATAGCAATTGAGACTGAG